CCAGTTGAGCTAACAGCAATTAACATGGAGCTGGATGAAATACACTGGGAGTCTACTAGTTAATGAACAGGCCCATCCTCACTGTCACAGCTCTGCTGTTTCACTAAGCCACTGCCATGTTAGTTTTTCCCTCCTCAGCTGCAGAATGGCAGCCATATCTAACAGGCCCATCTAATCTGCTGCTCTACTAGTGTGTGTTTATGTACTTGTGTGCATGTGTGTATTGTATATGCACTTGTGTATATCTGAGTGTGCACGTGCACCATAGAAACCATCTGTTCACAGTGAGCCAGCATGAGTCACGGGCCAGATCTGAGCCATGGCATCTGGGGTATGTCATCCACTCTCTTCCTCTCCAACCTTTCCATGCTTTCCTCTCTCCACTCTTTCTTTTACCCTCTCCCTTCCCCTCTCACTCATACTGAGTGACTCAGTATGCTTTTATCAAAGCATCTCCCTTCCATTCTTCTTCTGCCCACAGCTGTCTGCCCAGTTCTCCATTTCAGTCATTGAATTTTCAAAATAATTTTATTGTCACCTAAAGAGAAGACAGATAGAGGAAATAATACTTTGTTTGTTTTGGTGACTGGGTTTCCATCATGGAGTCAGTGTGGCTCAAAGGCACAAGTTTCATCAGTCTCCATCTGGTCAGCTATGTAATAGAGTCTGTCAATCACAGTGGAATTTACAACCATCTCCTATGTGCCTTTTTTGCATAGATGGTCTCTCTGTAACACACACACCTGAGACACCTTGGGAAATGTCAGCAACTGGGCTAAAGGGAGGACTGTGTTGATGGCTAATCAATGACACATAGCGCTTCCTGTAGCCCCCCCTAGATATTAGACTGACACACGTACTGAATGCAAACTGGCAAACACAGGAATCAGTCAAGGCTGTACCAGTCTGGTTCAGTATCACCGGGGCTACCTTAGTGTGAGGGTGTGTGAGTGTTTGTGTGTTTCCATTTTAACCATATCCGGTATTTGTGCTTTGTTTGTTTTTACTTCAAAAATCTAATGTTCCAATAATATTGAAGGATATCTATGGTAATTTTGGCATTATTTGACCATTTCTCTACATATACAGTTTATCTCTGAAATTTTGACCTCAGTTCCAATACAGTGCACTTTAAAGGTTTGTGTTCTGTGGATTATATTGTTTTACTGGGACACTGTATCTGTAAAGAGATATCGCTGCAGAATTTTCAAATGTAATTTTACAATGTATAAAAAAATTCCATTCAACTTGATTTAACTGGGACCAAGACAGAAATCTCAGGGGTGGACCTGTCAAAATAAGTGAACATAAAACCAAATACGCATTCTGTGTGTGTGTGTGTGTGTGTGTGTGTGTAATTTGGGTGAACATTTCTTTAACATCATTTATATGAACTAATACCTGTGCAAATGGGGACATTCTATCAAGCCTTACCCTACCTCTCCCCTCTGTTCAGAGACATCCATGCATATCCATTGATCAGAGCAGGCTGATGAGCTCCCACAGTGGGGATTTTAAATTTGTCCTCTAACCTACTTTACTTGAGCCACGCAATCTTCCATCTTTTCCTCCTCATTGCTCTGCTCTTTAATGATTTCTCCTATCTGTACCCAGAGCCCTAAAGGAGTCCATTTTGTCTGCAGATCAATGGGGAAAACACACAACTGAACCTGGTCTTTCTTCTCTCTGGTAAAACTGGGCTACTGGGTTGCTGCAGTTCCCCCGACATCCTTGATGGAAGAGTGTGTGAGAACTAATCTGCCTATCTCTCTGCTCTTTGATTTGAGTTGAAATGTGAATCGAGAGGGGGCAACGATCCCTGAGTGGAAGAGGAAATTCAAATGTTGCAGACATGCTTCATGTACTCACACACCTTCTGTATGTGGACGATGCACAAAGAAACACAGATTCAACAAAGAAAGAGAGGGAAAGTTTTAGCGTTGAATGAAAAGGTCACACATATTTGATCAATTTTTATAAACTGCCCTATGACTAAAGTAAACAAACAAATGAAAACAATATTTCACCTCATCCTGTACCAAAGTTCGGGGTTATGGTCATCTAGGCTGCAATTATAACATTCATGAGAACTCAGTCCAGGTCCAGACAAGACAAGGCATAGTACATCTTTACATAGATGTTTCCCCAATATTGCAAAAAATGTTAGATAAAAAGATATCAGACACCTTCTGGTTAATCTTAACAAGTGCTCCCATGGTGGGAGAGACAGAGTTTAGTCTGAAAGGTTCAACTAGAGCTCAAATGCTTCATAGTTAACGGTCACAAGCACCACACCGAGTCAAAAATGAAAGTAAATGTTCTTATTCTTCCATCCTGCCTTTCTTACTGTCTCACGCATGTGCACATGCACATGCACATGCACAAAAACACACAGAGAAACAAAAATCATAGGCCCTTAATCCTCTTATGTCTATCGTCTTTGATTCCATTTTGGTCTCCCCACGATCTGGGAAGCAGCAGCAGTTCCACAGCGGGAGGAGGAACATTGTGCTGCAGGCACTACTTTTAAAAACTTCTGGCTCTCATGCTCTGCTGGCAGGTGTTCATGTTTTTTGAGACTATGTGTGTGTGTGTTTACAGGTGTGTTATTCATAAAATGGTCCGAATGCCTATGGATCTTTTAACTACAGGTGATAAATTACTGGAGTATGACAATAAGATAGTAAACAAGAGATTAGGTCAGTGTTATACTGTGTAGACAGTGTCTGTCTTTAGGATTTAGTGGATGCATCTGTTCCAGTAACAAATAGCAAATGACATATGTTGCCAGTACATTTGCTCAAGTACTGTACATAAGTATCCGTGCTTTACTTGAATGTTTTCATGTTCTGTTACTTTGCCCAAGTACTGTACATAAGTAGAATTTTGAAGTATCTGTGCTTTACTTGAATGTTTTCATTTTCTGTTACTTTGCCCTTTGACTTCACTACATTTCAGAGACATATATTGTACTATTTACTTCTTTTACTCACTTTTAGTGCTTTAAGTATGTTTTGATTCTCATACTTTTGTATTTTTTGAGTAAAATTGTGAATGCAGGGCTTTTACTTGTAACAGAGTATTTTTATATTGTTGTACTGTTACTTTTACTTGCTAAGAATGAATTTGTGGTCTTTGGAGAGCAGCCGAAACCTTTCTCCCCCTTTAGTCTCATTTCACTGATTCATAATATTGATATTTGCGAGGTAATCTTTTGGAAAGTGCTATAGTATACACATGAAGTTATTATAAGGAGAAGATGGAGACATAAATTCAGCACTGTTGTTTATAGTGAATATGTCTCAGACTTCATAGTAGAATAGAAAAATCTAAATATAAAGCTGTTGGTGACATTTCAGCAAGTACGCTGGAGGGAAGTATCACTATGAACATGTGAATGCTACGTTCCACAACATTAAAAAACCCATATCTGTGCCTGCATGAAACAACAATTTCTAAGCAATGAAAACATTCACATTTATACCACTTCAAAAACATGAACAAGTTCTGCTTTTGCTCTGCTTCACGGTAGCTGATCGGTACCTAAACCACACAGTCTGTATTCATTTTCAAACAGTGGGAAAGAGAAAAAAAGAATGAAGCGTAAGAGTACAAAAGGGGAATGCGGGAAAGGAATGATGACATAACAGGGGGCCTGACGTGCATGAGGGTGGAGGTGTCTACGTCAGCTGTAACTGGGAGAGGAAGAGGAAGCATTCACTATGTAGGTCACATTAAAAACTCATGTAGCTTTCACACATTCAGCCAACTAACCCAGCAGCCTAGCATCACACTGTGAGCATACTTCCAGTTCTCCATGACTGAAAATGAAAACTACTGTTCAGTTGGCAGCAGTGCAAAGTTACGTCAGTAACATCACACCGGCTTTGCACCTTGTCATCTCATGAATTTTAGCTCATGACTTTTAAGAATCATCCTAGAGCTAATTCATGACGATAAGAAAGAAAGAAAGCCTTAACCACTAGCCTACCAGGGATGGCAGCTAATTCATGAACATAATGTCACAATATTTAACTAATTATAATGATTTTAGTGAGCTAAAATTAGTGTCCCTATTTGGATCCATCATGTATGAAACGTGCACAAACAAATTAATGGTGGAACACAGAGTGGAACTTAAATGGTCTTATAACTAGACAGTTTTATTGGCCACATCTGTTTCCATAACCATCCCTTACTGAATTTTGTGTCCTCATGTGGTCTGCAAATCTAAATCTCTACAGGTGTTAGTCATATGAAACTTGTGTACGGAAATACAGGCTGAACCAAGAATAAACTCTTAAGTGAGGTGGAGTTCTGATGAGAAAGCAAAATGTAACACAATGAATGTGGGAGGGGGCTGTTTATGCAAACTATATTTACGAGGGGAATACAGTGAGGAAGGCAGTAAAAACATTATGGTGATGACAGCAGTGTACTCATGATGTGGTGATAAAGTGGGGGGACGACGACGACACTGTGTTTAATAGATAGATACCGACTGTTGCCAAAAAGACATACCAAAAAATAAAACCTGGAAACATACTTGGAATCAGATCTCACATAACACTGGTGTCAGCAAATTTTCAAATGGTAGACTCACGGTGAGCCGTCCTGCATGGGTCACTTTGTGTGCTGTCAGCAGACTGAACCGAAGACACAGAGGACACGCTGGAGCTCCTGACGAAGCCAAAGGCTGCCAGGCGGCTGGAGCTGAAGCTTGGGGGGCGCAGGCCTGACTGACTTGTTTTGGGAAGCAGAGACCTGGAGCCTGCGGCCTGAAGCTGGACTGCTGCTGTCGCTGAAGCAGGAGGAGGAGGGGCTGGAGCATAATGGGTGAAAACCTGATCATCTGTTAGAAAAGCACACAATGAAGAATCATGATAAATCTTTTTAAATAATATTTTATAAACAAAACGTTGTTCACGAGGCAGCATCTATGGGGTCATTTTATCTGCCATTAGCACTGCATTTACAGTATGTTCCTTTTGTTTCAGCTATGGCATGTGTGTGCTGAATAGACAGCACCAGAAGCATGGGTGTGTGCATGTACACTGTGTGTGTGAATGAGTATTAACTACTACTCATATGCCAGCAAATTAAATGTAGAAAATTAAGCATGGCCATGATGTTTATTTCTCACTTTTCACCATGAAGTTGACTGTGATAAGCAACATCTGCCTTTTGGCTCTAGGCATATTTTTGGGCCAGCAGTTTCTTTAATGCCAAAACTGTTATGACAATTGCTATGGCACCCACTGACACCCTCATTTAGGACTTAGATAATATATCATTCCACTATAGACATGATGTTTCTAGTTTGCCTGTTTCATTACAATGACAGTTATTCCTTGTTATTAAAGGTAATACAGTGATTCTGACTGCATTTAGCCAGCCCTTCTAAAAACTGTGGCCCTACCATGCACGTTTCCAGACTTTCCAGAAAATAAGGCTAAAATGAAAGGTAGATCAAAATGACAAAAGAAAACATCTTTAGTGGAAGAAAACAGAGAATTAAAAAGTGAAATTGAAGATAAAAAAATAATCACACAGTAGCACCTTTTGTCAGCAATGAGGAGACATGCTCCCTCTTTGTAATCTATGATTTCCAACAGCAAAACAGATGAAATATGCAGGCATGAACAACCACGCCTGCACACACATACACACAGTAGGCAGTGGGATACAAGCTCCATCTTGGTTACCCCAGCCTGCAGTGCAAGATCTAGTTCCTGAACAGAAGAAGAGCATTATTCCCTGCTGGCTACAGAGACAAGGCAAAGGTAACCCTCCTTTTCTCTCCATTTGGCACAGCTGTCTGCTCTAGTACATGCTACAGGGTTACTACCACATCAATACAGTACATGATGAAAAGAAAAAAGTTTGAGAAGGAGAACACAAGCTCTGCTGGTAGACAGACACAGTGAAACAAAAATAAGGTGGAAAGTCTCTGGTGTACTATACCTTCCTTCTAGCATCAACACCCCCCAACTCCATTCATTCCCTGAGAGATGAGAGTGAGAAATGAACGTAGCAAACAACCTTAATTGTAGCCTAGATTTTACTAACCAAAAATACACATCATTCATAACAAGCTAAAAAGGAATAGGGAGGAGATGATAAATATAATGACTGTTCTTTTCACTTCCTTTTTGTTTTTTGATTTACCATTTTTTACTACACCTTTCTATCTGATAAAGGGTTCTCATTACACCAATCATCCTCACCTGCGCCGATTGACAACACCTATGCATACCCTTTTATAAGCAGCTTCAGAGAAGCTACCAGATTGTCCTGACTGCAGGCTTGATGCTCCAGCCATTCTGTACCTGAATCCTTGTGCCTTTGTGTAACCGGACCAGAACTTTGGATTTGAACCTTTACTATGCCTCTGCCTCGCCCTAGTGAGTGAGTCCAAATGAAGCAATGAACCAGTATCGAACCACTTCATGAACTGTGTCGAACATCAATTCATTCATTCAAAGGTTTGTTTCAGTGACATCTAGTGGCGAATAAGGAGACAGCAAAACAATGTCTGAATTATGTGAATGCTTCATGCAAGCAAGCAAAGTTTATTTATATAGCACCTTTCTAAACCTGCGTTACAAGGTGCTTTCCAATAAAACATAAACAAATAATAATAATAATAAAAATACCTAAGACCAGATAAAACACATCAATACAGTAAAATAACAAGAAAAAATACATGATGGTGATCAAACAAAGGCAGCAATTATAATGACAGTAACTACACACACACCTACTACAATGACAAACCCACATGTTGTGCATCATTTTGGGTGGCTTTGTAGTGCTTTTATGCGCCTACGAACCTGCTGACGCACACAGTGAGGTCTCGTGTTATGAAGCAGTATCGACTGTTTGAACCAGTCACGGGATTCATTTATGGGACCGAAGCAGTTTCTGCTTTGGACATCATCAGTCATGTGTCTTTTTCAGCAACAAAGCAGGCTTTGAAGCAATGGTTTGCGAAAAATGCCTCTTTGAGTTAGAAGCTTGTATCGGCGCCTCGGTGTCAGATGGCCATCACTACCTCGCCCTTGTAAAACTGTAACACCAGACCTTTGGAATTGAATTTTGACTACATCCCAGCCTTGCCTCTGAAAGATCGTGAACTCCACCAGACCTTTGGATTGGCATCTTGACTACGCCCCTACCCTGTCTCTAAAAGACTGTGCGTAATATCAGACTTTTGGATTGGACGCTTGACTTTTCTGCTGCCTTGCCCCTGTAATACTGTGAGTTATAGTATCTGCCTCTCTGGATTGCTGAACCCACTCTGCTATTAAACCAGGACTCCTGCCTGTGGAGGAGGAAGTGTTTTCTTCCCTCAGTGACTTTGTCTACTAACACTGTGCCTTGTCAGAGCTACACCATTACCAGCACTCATCCCTCTCCAGCTCATCATTACTGTCAATAAAGACTCTTACTTACAAGCTGTGATACTGGCCTTTTAATTGGGCTCATCTCTATTAGTGGTGTGAGGTTCTCACACCAAACTGGCAGTGGCTCAAGAGGTAGAGTGGTTTGATTCCCGCTTTTCCCAGTCCACATATTGAAGTGTCTTCGGGCAAGACACTAAAACCCAAGTTCCTCCTGATGGCCAGAGCAGTGCCACCATCAGCATGTCACTGTGTAAATTTACCCACTGAGGGACTAATAAAGGGATTATTATTATTATTAAACACTACCTTCAGTTTCTCAACCTCTCCCTTTTGCTGAAAGACAGAGCATCCTAATTTGAGCTGTATTATGTCATTTCAGTCAGCTGGACAGGTGGCTGGGATAGTAATGACCAAATGGGTATAACGGCAGCCTAAGGTGAGATGCGACACCTACATGGATTTCCTTCACAGAGCGTTAAATTGCATGTTATTAAATGCAATACTTGAGTGAACTGCAATCTCTGAAGCTCTACTGGAGCATGGCATTGGGTCTGACCACAGCAAAGAAGGCAGGGTGAACGTCACCATGCAGAAATTACAGTAGGTTCAACACAAATGTGGTCATATAAATGGATGATGCTCATTATAAAATGCAGAGTTTAAAACGTCCATGTTAATTATGTGAGTAATTATGTGAGTAATTGCACTGATTTGACAGCTATACAATATAATTGCTATAATGTATGGATTCAAGATGGAGATATTTTCCTTTACAAAAGGCTAAAATATTGTAATTCACAGTGGTGTATAGAACAAAGGAAACATAAAGAACTTAATGGCACACTGGTATAGTTCAGATTGCTCCTGGGAACTGATGAAAAAACAATAAAAATGACAGAGAAACCCTACTTTACTTAGCCTGTATAAAGTACATACACAAGCAAAGACACTGATACACACAGTGCTGGCAAATGCCACACATATACAGTGTGTTTACACATGCTGTGTGAGGCAGGGTACAGCTGAGATCAGACCTGATCCCATGACATTACTCAAGTGTTAATTGCTTTGCAGTTCAAAGCCTGTAATTCCCCAAGGTCCAAGCAGCACTGAGAAACCATGCATATGTTTTAATGTGGATTTGATTAGGAAGCCTGGCACATCATAATACTATGTCGATCAATTCTATGTGCAGTTTTGGATTGTGTGTATGTAGCTGTAAGAGTGTATATGAGCAAGTATGTCCCTGTGTAGTTTGCCTTTTTTAAATTGTGTCCAGGTTATCACAGTTATGGAGAGAGCAGATGAAATATGCATGAAAGTGATAAATACCACAGCCTTTCAGCAGTGTGCAGGGTCATGAGCAAATTTCATACTTAAATATTTCAGCAACACTTGAGCTGTAATGTAAGTCAGACTCCAGCAGTCAGAGGTGGTGTCTGAATCACCTCAAATATAAATTGGCTGTGTGTGAAGAGAAAGCACAAGCAAGCGTTTATTTATTTTTTGTAGATGGCAGCCATCTGGAGCAGAAAAGTCCCCTCAGAATTTTTCTTAACGCTCACCGATCAAATCAGGCAAAATTAATCTCAGCAAATGCATTTTAATGAGCTGCTTTCATCTCAGGCCAAATGAGGGGAAAGAAGAAGAAAAATAAAGTAGAGCACTTGTGTGTCAAATTTTGGGTTCCTGAAATAAGATCTGACACATATTGTAGTTTAAAATGCTGTCTCCATCTGGCATTCTGCAAGCCTGCTCAAATGTGGAGAAATGTTTTATTTACCTGTCTTATCTTGGCTTTTCTGACTGGTTGCTGGGCTGACAGGTAGGATTGGCTGGCTGAAAACCAGGGTTGATCTCTGACCTTGACTGGGTCCTCTGCCCTTGGCTGGGCCCGTAGCTGTCCTGGTGACAGCTCCCCCGCCGCAGCCCTCGGCCAGAGGCCAGGGGCCTGCCGCTGCCTCCGGCCTGAGCAGCTACCTGAGGCTGCAGCTGGTCCTCGGCACAACCCCCTTTAAAACCAGCAGATCTCCCCACCTAGAGATGAAAATCATCCAATTTAGCAGAATACAATTTTTTAAGGATAAATGCTTTTTTTGGATCATAACATAATTTTTGCACAAGCACATCGCATCACAAAAAGTAAAAGAAATATACCATTGTAATCCAAAATTCAAGTTTAAATGTGGATTATGATAATGTGATCATTCAACTAACATTGCTACCTCTTTGATAACTGCATAAGTATTGCTATAATTGCTATAAAATCATAGATGTAGTATTGTCTATTTCCTATTTATTGGCTCCTAACTGCCAAC